GCTCCCGCGGGTATGGGGTCGTGGTTTCCGGGGGGAGACTGTAACCGCCGTGCCGCACCCCCCCCCTGGCAAGCCTCGCGACTCTCAGCTCTGAAACCAATATCAAACGAACTAAATGGCCCACTTTCACATTCACACACATTACTTTACATATTAAATGACGACGTGTCAACCCCCCGGCAAAGCACAAACCCTGCGGATGAATCACTTCTCTCTCTCTCTCTCTCTCGGAAATCGCGCTCCACTCCCACAGCTGGTCGTAGAACTGCAACTGAGCTCTCATGCAGGCTACAACATCTCTCTCCTACTCGCTTTCAAGCCAAGTTTAAAGAGCGGCCGGTAGAACCATCCACAGCGAGCCATAGCGAGAGCCCCAACCCTAAGGCGGAGGTTGCATTGGTGCACACCTTAACCTACGTTTCCATCATGTAGCCCTCGGTCCCGCTCCGACAAACCCACAAAAACAACCCCAAACCCACAAAAAAGAGAAAGGGCACATTCCCGTCTTCAAGGTCGCCTCGTCATCATTATAATCAACAGTACCTCATCATTCTGTACATGCAGGCCGTACAGGCAAGCCGTACAGGCAGGTACACAAGGCCCGGGTAACTCCTCAGTACGCTCCTCGCCAGCAGGCTGAAAACATACGTACATAGATACTTACGTACGTACGTATGTACATACATACATACATACATACATACATACATACATACATACATACATACATACATACATACATACATACATACATACATACATACATACATACGTGTCAGGCTCTTCATGCCGTCCTGGCGGCCGCCTCCTCGCGCTCTCACTCCGATGCCGGCACCAACCCCGAGGGCTGTTCGAGCTCCTTCCACTCCTCCAGGGGATCCTCCCAGCAGCGGGGCGCCACGCCAGTACGACTGCCGTACGCACACAGGTACGAAAAACACATTAGATGGAAAGTTTTGTTAGGGAACAGAGCTGCTGCAGATTCAAACGTGATCCATTCGCGAAAGAGAGGGAGGGCGCTCGAGGTAAAAACCCCAATCATCACCATCATCCCATTCCTTGACAAACTTCTTTTGCCCAGAACCCCTACAGGTTTCCCGCCACCAGAAGCTACACCCACACTCTTTTTCACACTCTTCTTCACTCTCACACATCTCTACCACAACTTACTCGTGGATGAGCTTCTCCAGCGCCCGGAAGAAGCCCGAGGAGTCCAGTAGCGGGTTCCACCAACCGCTGACGATGCAGTAGTTGCCCTCAAACGGGGCCTTGTGGTGGGCCCCGTGCATACGGCGACCGATCAGCAGCCCGCTGTCCTGAGTGGTTGGGTTGCGGGTTCGGGGAAAGGTTCGGGGAGGGGTTCGGGGAGGGGTGAGGGGAGGGGTGAGGGGAGAAGGGAAGGTTGGAACATGTCCACTTCGACAGGGGGGAGGTGTATTTGTGTCTCCGGTGTGTCTCCGGTGTGTGTGTGTGTGTGTGTGTGTCCGGTGTGTGTGTGTGTGTGTGTCCGGTGTGTGTGTCCGGTGTGTGTGTGTGTGTCCGGTGTGTGTGTGTGTGTCCGGTGTGTGTGTGTGTGTGTGTCCGGTGTGTGTGTGTGTCTCCGGTGTGTGTGTGTGTGTCCGGTGTGTGTGTGTGTGTGTGTGTGTCCGCTTACAGCAGTCGAGAATACGGGAAGTATTCAATGTGATAGCTATACGGGGAAGGGCCGGGGGAAATAGGGGGGTTTGAGAGAAAAACACAATTAGACACACACACACATACACACAGAGGGGGTTCGTCTTACGTCGAGGCACTCGAGGAAACACATGCACAGGAGCGAACCTGTAGGCCGTTAGTTATGTGGTTAGTTAGTTACGTGGTTAGGTAGGTATGTGGCTTGAATGTATGTGAACAGCCTTTGCAGCCTCCCTCCCTCCCTTCCTCCCTTAGCCAATCCTTCAGCCCGCTACCTCCTCCCCCCGCCCGCTACCTCCACTACCCCCCCACCGACCTGCAGCGCCACCACCGCCGGCGGCAGCTCGCTCTTCTTCATGTGGCTCCACGCATGGAACTGCTGACTCATGCAAACCAGGAACAGGAAGGACGAGGACCAGGCGTTCCAGCCCAGCGGCATCACGGGACTCAACGACAACAGCGCAGCGGCGGCGTAGGAGGCCGGACCGAACACCTGCGGATGAGCGGGTGGGAGGTTAATGCCCGTGTGTGTTTTGGGACACGTGCCGGGACGGACAAGAGCGGGGTGGGGTGGGGGGTGGGGGGGGAGAGGGGCGGACGGCAAGCGAAGGGAAAAAAGGACCCGTCTTCTGCCCGATACAACTCTTCCCCACGTTAACACCCACCACCCACTACAACGCTGCACGCCTCCCTCTTAGCGCCTCCCTCCTCCCTCCTCCCTCCTGCCCTGTCCTTTCACGGGTGCGGCACCTGGTGCAGGTTGTTGGCGAACTCGCGCTGAGTGATGGTCCAGGGCCGCTGGTGGTGCCCTTGGAAGGCGGCGATCTGGCGACCGAACACGGGCGTGTTGCCGTCGCCGTAGTTGTCCACCCCCCAGTGGTAGATGCCTGCGGGCGGGGGGGGGGTGCAGGGCAGCGGCGGGCAGGACGGGGGGGAGGAGAGGTGAAGGGAGGGAGAGGAGGGGATTCAGGGCTGAAGGGGAGAACCTTGCGAACGGGGGGGGGTGAGAACCCAAAAAACGGGGGAGGGGTGCGAGGGGGAACTTGGATCCCGCATCCCCCCCGCAACCTCTTTCCCCCCCCCCCAGCGCTCGTCCTCCTGCCATACGTACCCGTGCCCAGGTCCGAAAGAATGTAGGCTAGCAGTACGGCACCTCCAAACACCACCATGTCTTCCACACTCTCGACCTGCGGGTGACAGCGCGGAGGGGAGGGTTGGTCAGTCTCTCCTCTGAGCGGGCCGGGGGCCGAAAGAGGAGGACGAGGAAAGGGCGGAGGACGGAAGTTCATCTCCCCTCTACAGCTACAGCTGCAGATCCTGAGCTACCCGGCCCCCACAGCGACCCAGTGTCCTAAACCCCCACCCGGGGTTATCAACATGTGCGCCACCTAAACCCATTTCCGTACTCACCCATCCTGCCGTACATTCGAAACCAACACCTGTACAACCCCTCCCCTCGCGGGCCCCCCCCCCAAGCCTCCCACACACACGCACACTAAGGGCGCAGCTAAGCACTCCCCTCTACCCACTAATAAGCAGCAGCTGCACCTCCCCAGAGCTGCCCGGGACCACCGGGGGGGGGTTCCCCCTCCCGGTACTCCCAAACCGCTCACCATCCCATCCTATCCGCGGTTCTGCAGCGCCCCTCTCTGTCTTTAGCTCTGTCTAGTTCCCAGATATCACCCTCGCACCAAGGCTACAAGGCTACAAGGCTACAGAAGGCTACAGAAGCTACAAGGCCCCCCCAAGTTGCGGTCCGGTAGCAGCAGCTACAGCGGGAAGGCCCTACCCGTACTTGCCACCGCAGCACCCCGGCTACAGCTCTGAAGCCCTCTAGCAGCCTCCCCATCACCTGCTTGGTCGCCTGCTGCAGCGTGGCGGCAATCATGGCAATGGACACCCAGGTCCAGGCGCGCATCTCCGGTGTCGATTTGAGGTTCTCGTTCTCGTCAATAATCCACTTGGATCCAGAGACGGCGGACTTGGAGCTGCTGGATCCGGATCCCGTCGTGGAGATGGTGGTGGCGGAGATGGAGGAGGAGGGGGAGGAAGTGGAGGGCTCGGCGTCCAGGACGGTGGCGCCCTGGGGCCGCAGCTCGGGCAGATCGGTGGCGGCGGGGGTGGCGGCGGCGGCAGGGGGCTCTTCCAAGGTTCGTACGGCCGCGGCTGCGATGACCAGCGGCCGCCTTGCGATGGCCGCGGCGGCTGCTGCTGCCGGCAGCGAATTGAGCTCGGTACCAGTACCCTGTTCGGGGAAGCGGAGTGCGCGTCGACTCGAGGGGCCCTGGACCCGACTTTTTGACTTGTTCTCTTCCAATTAATTTCTCTGTTCCCGCGTAACTCGAAAGTAATATCCCAAAACTCAGCGAGCAACCGTTAGCGTTGAATTCTAATTCCTATTGGTCCCGATTTAGAAATAAGTTCTGAACATAGTCACTTAGCGCCGTGAAAAAGGATGGTTTCGTATCTTCTCATACATCCATTTTTGAATCTTGCCTAGAAGATATCGTCCATTACTACCTTCACTGGGTAAGTTGCTGAAAAGAGCTCTCCCCCTCGCTGAGCTCATCTCGCGCAAATATGAAGGCGACGCGGGTGAGAGGGACCGCGATAACGGCAACAACATCTATCTTCAGTTTATCTTTTAACACCAGGATCATCAGCCGCACAAGCCGCAGCGATTTCATAAAACCTGAGTTAAGGATTGTTGTTTTCACGGATTAAGGCTTATAACTGCCCTCTCAACCTCATCCTCCCGAAGAGCCGAACAGGACGGGTTTCCTCCTAGTAAGAGAGTTTTTTTTGTGTGTTGTGTGTGTCATGTGGTGTGTAGTGTGTAATGAGTCATAGGCCCCGGATAGGGAGCACCTAAGGAGAAGGTTTTAAGATTACACCGCTATGTCGTTACTGACCGAATTTCGCAACGGATTGGGGCCAAACGGATTGGGGATAAACCAACGAGATCCCAACCAAACATTTTCCGTCAATGTACAAAAGCAGGGGAAGCCGTACACCCCGAGAAGGCTTCCCGAATCGGGGGAGGCGGCTGCGGCGGCTGAGGGCCGACCACGGGGTGCGGTCGCAGTGTTCCATACTACCCCAAGAATCTCACACACCAGCAAAAACATTTACAAAGGAAAACATTAAACGCAGCGCGCTTATACTTAACTGACAGTATAATATTCGCTGACTTGTACAGTCTCGCCCAAGACACCCGAGTTTTTCAAATCCGCCCCACACCGTATGCAAACCACATTTTCTACCGTGGCTTCCACCGTCATTTCCTCCTCTCTCTGCGACTCATCCTCCCCTCCCTCTTCTCCTCCGTTTCTCCCTCCTCTTCCACAAATCCCTCCGCCCCTCCTCCCCCCTTCCATGAGGCCCATTCGGCACCAGCCGCCCATGCCCGACCCAGGCCAAAGAAACCAGATCATAACAAAAAAAACAAATCAGATCAGTGGATTTCTTCAAATCAGATGGCGCCGATCAACTTGGAGCTGATAGCCAGCAACGCCACAATAATCGAGATCCACAAGAAGTAGTTGGAGGACATCGCCTGAGGCGGGAGCAAGGAGAGCCGAAGGGGGGAGGGAGGGGGCGGAGGCAGCAGCAGCGGCAGCGGCAGCAGGGGGGCCCGTCGTCTTAGAACCGCCCCGCACGCATATTGGCGATACGAGAGGGGGGCATACGGACAACGGGCCCCGCCCGCCGCCGCCGCCGGAGCGCGTGCGAGCCCGTGCTCTCCTCCTTTCCCCGCTCCCACGTCCTCCCTCTCCCGCCATCAACGCCCCTTCCCGAGAGACTTTTCCTTCCCAACACGATTAAAGCGCGCGGAACGCCAGAAAAATCTGATGGACCGCGTCTTCCCCGCACCGCATCATGCCCGCGCACGGAGATGGACCGAGACAGCCTACTTGCACGGCTTCTGACACATCCATGCTCTGAAAGCAATTGTTATTGTTTTCGGGCTTCGGTTAGTTAACGTGCTGGCTATTTAGTAAGGGAGTGGAATAAGCTTGTAGCGCGAAGACGACAGCCTACTGAGCGCTAATAGAAGGACAACCGAACACTAATGGAGAGACAAAAGAGGGGAAGAGGAAGGAAAGAGATAGATTGCAGTTGCCTAATCCCTGACTCCGTCAGGCAGCTTCACGCTGTCTGACGGAATGAGGGATTAGGCATGTAAGCTCTGAAAGAGTTAAGAGCTTGAGGAAGGAAGAGCTTGGGCCTGGACCCATCAGGCCTGAACAACGAGCGGGGCACTGGACGACCGCGGACAACCAGGACAACGACCTTTGCTCTCCCTGGTACGTCTTCCATCAAGCAAAGGGCTCCTGCTATTGTCGGCTCAACATTCCAATAAGAAATTATTGTTTGCGTAGTTGCAAAACGCTTCTTTAGAAGCCAGTTACATTGAACGTTTGCATGCACCCCTTGACGGTTGCGCGGTTCTGGTCCCTAAGCCTTCTTCAAGCAAACGGTATGCTACCTAGCCTCTCGCTGCTTGAATTCTGAAGTGAGTAAGACTTTGCTTACCTTGTTCTCTGCTCCGCCTAGGCCAGTGTACTCCGCACGCAGCCGGGCCTTCATCTCCTTGCTCATGTTGTCCGTCTTAGGGCGCTGAATTACAAAACATGCATTGAAGGGATTAAAATAAATATCAATGCAAATTCAAGGGTTGTCAAGGCTCCTTGACATTTCCCCGCGCTCGACTTGTGCAAGCCACACAACCTGCTGTGTCGACAGACGACTCATCACCGCACGACGTAAAAATGACTTACCCGGGGGGGCTCATTCACATCGACGTATAAGCCATCAGCCTGTTTAGAGACGTTGGACGGAGCGCCAGGAATAGTGACCTCGGAGTCTCCTTCCCTAAACTCGCGCGTAACACGAGCTCCACTCGACGGAGGGTCAGCACGGGTCAACACGAGGCGCATAGGGCGTACTGGAAGCGCAGCTGCTCCCAGAGCAGATGGCGAACGCAGAATAGAGCGGGCTTGCAGCGCCATCACGTCGTAAGCTTGCAGATGCTACAGATTTGAGAAATTAAATAACTGCACTAAGCAACTAATGGTAATCCATACAAACAATACTTCTACAATTTGGAACTCCGCTGGTACCAGGTATCACCTGGTCGTACCTAAGTACGGCAATACTGAATTGCGTGGCGACCATACCAGGCATAGCATCCTTCTTAGGCGGCATTACTAATAAGAAGGATAGTGGCTGTAAACGGTTCGAGAAGCCTAGGATCAGCTAGGCGATCATCGGATGCTGTTCCGTTCCAAATGCCAAACGTGCAGACGCACCACGACACGTTAATTACGTGTGCCTCTTAATGGGCCTGTAACACCTTCACTTGACCAAAGAAGTACTAACAATGTCCTCGCTACTTGATGGCGCCCAGCCGGCGCCGGCGTCATGGATGCGGGTTTCATCCATCACGGAGGCCGACACTATCCAACTCTCCCCCGTCGCCGTGTCCCTGTCAGCTGCTGTACTTTTAGTCAATGGCTTCATCTCCTTGCGCTTCAAACTGGGGCTGCACATGCAGTTGGTGATTGCTTCGATACGGTGTGTGTGCGTGCGTATGTGCGTTCCCATGTCAACAGCAGCACAACACGATAAGCCAGTGCATCCATGCGCATGTACGGACACATCCGCGGACGCGCGCATTTCCGTGTGCCGCATGGTCGATGTGGGGAAAAGCCATGAACGGGATTCCTGCTTGGCTTGCGACGAGTTCGCTCATTTCACGTTGCGAGAAAATTCAAACGGGCGTCATATTTTGGCCCGACGCGTCACATACACATACACACACGCACATACGCCCTGAAGCCCCCGGCCCCCGGCGGGGTGGGGAGGGGGGAAATAGTTCGGTCTCCCGAAAAGGGCGCGACGAGGGTACTGTCAGGTTTAGAATTTGGATTTTCAAATTTCTGGGTTTGGTGAATGCCGTACACGACTATGATTTCTCAGTTGTACTACATATTTATTTGGTATGTTGACCCCCCCCGTGGCCATCCTCGGGCCAGGTCTTGCCCTGCAAACCCCCCCCCGGGCGCACCAAACCGGTGGCATCTCTTTAGACATATTTTATACAAAGTATGATGCGGTCGTATTTTTTGGCCGTACAGCAGTTATCTCTTCACCACATGTTAGTCGTACTGCACCCAAACGACGATTCATCTCTATCCTCTAATTCCCCAACAGAGCGCAGCTTTCAGCCCATCCCCGCATCTTGTCACACCATGCATCGATGTGATTGCGTGCCTGTGTGTTGCTGCACAACTCGACTTCGAGGAAGTCTAAAGCAAAAACACGCGCCCCTCTTCAATTCGTTTGCGTGTCGTACATATGCGGTCATTTTTTAGTCGTACATCTTCCTGGCTAGGTCAGCGGCAAATGTATGTGTGTATGTCTGTCTGTGTGTGTGTGTGTTTCACACCTCGGTTGCGTTAGTTACCCCGGGGGGTGGGGCGAGAGGAGTGCCCACACACGGGCCAGATAGCTATGGGCCCGAGAGCCGAGCTAGGAGCCACAAGTTCAAAAGCAATTAAAAACCTTTCTGCGGAAGCGGAAGCACGAATTGAACCTGAGAGCCTCTTTTCCTGAACCTTCCAAACTGCCGATATGAAACCATGTTGTCTCGTTCATGGTTATCACATGGACTTTAGCGACCGCAACCTCCCGAAACCCCCTGAGTTATCCCCCCACCTCCTTTCCACCTCCTTTCCACCTCCTTTGCAAACCCCACCAAAACACCCCCATGTGTGGGTGTGTGTGGGTGTGGGGGGGGAAGATTGTTTAGAATGGTGGTGCAACTGTCGCTGCTAGGTTACGTGCTCGTACCCATCTTCACGTACGACAAATGGTGGCTGGTGCTGCTTTACGGCATGTTCATGCTCGTAATCGCTTCGCTTGAGGCCGTACAGCGCCCGAGCTACTCTTTCCAGGTCCGTACGCTTCGCCGTCGTATCATTACATTGTGCCGTACCATGTGCCCTATGACCGCACTGGTTGCCGTACTTCATGGCATGTAGCGTTCACATGTCCTGGAATGTGGAGTATTTTTTGTCGATGATGTTTTACCATGTGCCCCGAGTACCGCCACACTAATCCCACCTAATGTGCGTCTCTCGCGCCCCCCCCTCCCTCCCTCCCTCCCCCTCCTCTCCTCCTCCCCCTCCTCTCCCCCCTCCCCCTCCTCCTCCTCCCCCTCCTCCTCTCCCTCCCCCTCTCCCTCCTCCTCCTCCGAGCCCTCCTCTTCGCAACTAAGTAAACCCTCCCCCGGCTCCGTGTCCCCGTGCCATATCGCAGGGTATGTTGCTCAACACGTTGCTGTCCATGGCCTCCGCCACGGGGCTGCTGCTCAGCTACCTGGTGCTGGTGGTGCTGGGGTTGCGACCCGTGTGGGAGGCGCAGTACGTCATTCCCCTGGCCGGCATGTTGCTCGGGAACGCCACGTCAGCAGTCAGTGTGGGGCTCAGTGCGGTACTGGAGGACCTGGCGGCGAGTGAGGCCCCCGGGGGGTGTGGGGGGGGGAATTGGGTTTTGGGGGTTTGGGATGGGGATTTGGAGACAGGGATGGGGAAAGGGATGGATGGAGGACGGCCGGGTGGGCAGGGAGTGCGTGAGGTGGTGAGGGGTGGGGTCAGGGTAGAGCGAGTCCTTTGTCCTCACGGTTGGTGGGGGAGGAGGGAGGAGGGGGGATGGGGGGATGGGGGGG